GGCTGCCGGTCTGGCTGAGCCGGGAGCAGGTTTTCTCCCAGCAGCAAACTCACTGCAATCGAGAGCTGGGTTTCCAAAATTAAACCGTAATGAGTCAAAACGAGGAAACCCAAGAGCTGTAATTGTTGTTTGTTTGTTTTGCTTCACTGCTGCTGGGACATCTGGCGCGTGGGCTGGTTGTGCAAGGGTGCGAGGGGATGATGCCCCTCGGGCTGCGGACGGACAGACATCCTCCCTGGGCTGCCACCGTGCTGGCAGGGGGTGGCTGGGCTCAGCCTGGCCCCCTGCATGTCCCCAACCCCGCTGTGTCCCCCCCTCCCTGGCTTGTCCGCCTGCTCCCTGACCCCTTCCTGGCAAAGCAGCCGGGATCCGGCCCCACCGGGGAGTTTTTTTTCCGCCTCGCCGGCTGGTGGCAGCGGGGCATGAAGCATCCTGCCCGGGGCTGGCGTGCGTTGCGGGGGTGTTAAAATCCACACAAGCATTGATAGGAAGCCAGGAGTATATTAAAAATTTCTCCCACGCGACCTTCTGGCGGGAGGCGCACGGGGGGGTTCGTTGTGCAGAAGCGTTCCTGTTTGCTGCCTTCGCCCGAAATCTTTTGAACTCGGAGAGCGGCAGCGAAGCGCCCACAGAGCTGCTCTTCCCCCTGTGTTTACAGTTTGTGGCGGGTGTTTCTGAGCCCCTCATGGGCGTCAGGTCATTTTTGTTTGCAAAACAAAATGAAAACGAGCACCTTACGTCACCCCCCTCGAAGGGTCCGCGCCGGGTTTGAAGCAGAGAGTGTGAAGGGGAGGAAAAAGAAGGATGATGCTCCCAGCCCGCCACAGAAACAACTATTAAATGTTAATTTAAGAGCATTAAATTGCTTAATTTAGTACCAATTAAGTACTGTGGATGTCCTGCTGCTGGCACTGCTGCATCCCCAGCATCAGCCCCATGCAGCCCAGGCTTTCCCCGCACGGAACGTTTTAGATTTAGAGCAAATTTCATTCTTCGGTGCAGGGCTGAGCTCTTCCCCGGCTGATGCCACCCAAGCTCACCCCTTTGCAGGCTCCACGCTTGCAGCAGGTGGGTCCTCAGCCCTCTTGGAGAGCCAAGGGATTTGGGTGTTAGAAATTTTAAGTCGTTCCTGGAAACGCAGGGATTAGTAGTTGAAGCCAAGCGTGCCGCAGGTGTGAAGTGACTCGTGTTGATGGGGAATTGAAAGAAAGTGCTGGAAAGAAGCAGCAGCAGGTTTTTTTTGGATCTCCTCCCCAAAGCGAAGTGGGGCGGGGAGGACCCTGGTGTAGGTGTAAGGCTGGGGGGGTCCCCCAGGTGCAGTGCAGTGTTTTGGGGGACACTGAGCTCAGACCTCTGATGTGTCGGAGAGCAGGGTGGCTGGAGCAACAGCAGCAAAAAAATAGTCTGGCGTGTGTCGGGAAGCTTTTATCAGACAGAAATAATCCTCCATTGTGGAGGTTTTAAAGTTACTGGCTCCCTCCGCACATTGGGCATGAAGGGTACGGGGATGCTGCGGTTCGTCAGGCGCGTTATAGAATAAAACATCCCTTGTAGGTGCCTTAAACGGCTGCATTCATGCGGGCTGGGAGCTCTGGGGCCCGTGAACATTTCTGGGTGTTCATTGTTTGCTTCTGCATTGCCGTGCCGGTGGGGATGCCCTGACAGTCCAGTCCATCCTCCTGCTTCCCCTAAAGCTGGGTCCC